TAACTTGATGAGCATGATTTGCAAGTATTAAAACTTGTTTCAGGAACTGTGTGTGGGTGTCTTCTGTTTTTCTTAAAAGCAGTTGTGATTAGTAGAATCACAGTTTCTTTGCTTTCAGGATTTTTTTTTTTAATGAAACTTTGTTAACAAACTTTCTCTCCCTCAGTCTAGAGCAGATTAAATCATTTGAAGCACCTGCTACAATCAACTCTGCATCACTTCACCCTGCGAAAGAATGTTTGGTTGCAGGTGGTGAAGATTTTAAACTCTATAAATATGACTATAATACAGGAGAAGAATTAGGTATGTTTTTCCTCTGTAATCAAAAATGAGTTCTGAAATGGGTATTAGATTAATGAAATAATGGCTAATGAATGAAAACAGTATACTCATGCAAGGTCTTAACATACCATGCAGTGCAAGAGGATGGAAAGTTATATTATCAGTTACATGTTTTTTCTTGTCAGTATACCTAGCGTTATTCTTCTAGAGCTAATTAAAGCTTGCAATAAACAGCACTTTGCACCTATTTTAAAAAAGAAGTTGTCATTCCAAACTGTTGCAATAGCAAGCTGTGTGTTAACTTGACTGTCATACTATAGCATTTATTAGATATGTCTAATGAGTTGCAGCTACTTGCTTTTATGGAAAATTTGATGTGTTTGTGTTCTTCCTAATGTTGGCCAAATCTGTTTAAAAAAAAAAAGTGTGTTTTGAGGCTGATCTCTACATGCTGTCCTCATTTAAAATGGTATGTGCATGGAACAAGTGTGCTCCATGCTACTGCCTTGCTTCGTAGTTTTGCCTGGAATAAATAAGCATCTGCTTTTTTGCAGTTACTAAAACATTAATATGTTACCTAAATATGAAATCACTGAGATATTAATTAACGGAAGCCTTGTTTTGTGTCAGAAGTTAAATACTGAAAAAGTCTCCCCCACCAGTATTTTTATTATTGTCTTCTGATCAGTTTTTGCTACTTAATTTCAGTTGTTGACTGAAGCTTGAAATTCATGGTCTTGATATGTTCTTTTCTAGAATCTTACAAGGGACACTTTGGTCCAATTCACTGTGTGAGGTTTAGTCCCGATGGAGAGTTATATGCAAGTGGCTCTGAGGATGGCACACTAAGGCTGTGGCAGACAACAGTAGGGAAAACCTATGGTCTTTGGAAGTGTGTAGTTCCTGGTAAGTGTGCACTTTTTCCTGGTGAAACATGACTGCTTCGTGTGTACCTTTTTAATTAAAATCTCTATTGTAAGTGGTAAATACCATCTGAATTTGATACAGTAACTGAACTGTCTTCTGAGGGTCTCTGTATCCACTCCAGTCTATTAGATTTAAGGATTTACTTTTGTAGCTGTCATTTAAGCAATTAACTTCAAGCCTGTAAGCTTATTGAATATAGACACTTTATGGATATTCAAGCAAATAGTCTGATGTATTGTACTGTATTCCTCTGTAAAGAGGAAGAAATATGAAATACCACTTTTGTAAGTCTTAAGGAGATAAGAATCTCTAGAAATAAGTGTGGGTGATAGTTTTATCCTGTATTGTACTTTGGTTTTCTAAACTTGGGGGGGGGAGGAATGTCTAGAAAAATGCAGGTGGGTATTCATTAATGGATTGCTTACCCTACTGTTTCTCCTCAACATTAAGTTAAGTAGAAATTTATTCTTTTTTTATTAAGGTGGGTGGGGGGAACCAAAAGTATTGACTGTTTTTTCTCCCTCCTTTCTTCAGAAGAGGAGAATGCAGAAGCAGCAAAAGCAAGGACCACCCTTCCAGGAACTGCAGAGGAGGAAATAGGTAATGCATTGAACTGTCAGTTTCAACTCAGCTAAATGTTGAAATATCAGTCAAGATGGTACCATTCTTTAGTATAGAAGAGGTAGTTTTCCCCCAAGTACCTTCTAATGTTTTTCATTCTTCTCAAAAGATCTTTGAGTGTATTTTCCTGAAACTGACGACGTGGTAAGTGTCAGACTAGTGACTAGAGCTGTGCAGGCTGAACAGATGGGGTAGAATAACTGCATCAGGTTAAATGTGAAAACAAACTTGAGTTAGTCTTCAGGCAATCCCTGCAATGTTTCTTTGGTTTTTATCTCTAAGGTGAAGTTAAATAATACCCTTTCTATTTGATTGCAGAAGATCTTCCCTCTGAAAACTCAGATTCAGTGTACAGCTCAACTCCTGAAGTTAAAGCCTGATTATTGCAACTGTTACATGACATATGGACATACAAGACTAAATCAAGTGAACAGTGATAAACAGCAGCCTTCCAGAGTGTGCTCTCTACATAAGGCAAAGGTGGGCAGTATTTGATGAGAATGCAGTGGAACTGGCTAGGTGTTGTCTGTAAGAGAACTGAGTATCCAAAACAAACAAAAAAAAAGACAGGTAGTAGAGTTTTGCTATCGTTTTAGCATAACTGTCTACTGTCTTTTCAAAGAAGTGTGCAAGCCAAGATCCAGTCTCTCCCAATTTCAATTAGACTCATTGTAGTGTGTTTTCTTTATTATGGAGAAGAGGTACAATGGCTTTTACCCTTTTTTTTTTTTTTTTTTCCTTGAAAGTTGGAACATTTGGCTTTAGTTGAAAAGAAGGGATTATGTACTAAAAATATTTGGTTCAGGTTTTGTTTCATTGTACGCTGCTTCTGAACATTTAACTGTTTTCAGTTGTCTAATAAAATGCCTCTTAAAACTTGTATCTTACTGCTGAGCGTTGGGTTCATGGAATGGAAAAGCAACCAAGTTAACTACGTAATCCTTTCCAGCATCTTGGTTTTGTTCTATAGAGAGGAAAGTAAAAAGAATGTTTTAGGGTTGGTACAGAGGGTGGTGAGTTCCTTGATCCTGTATAAGCTTTGTGTCTTTTTATTCTTTAAAGTTTGAATGTAAACGCGAGTCTCTAAAATCAAAAACCAGTGAAAACTCCTCAGTTAAACATGCTGCCTGAAATGTTTGGTTGTACGTGGAAAATCTCAGAGGTTGGCTATGAATCTGTATAAAGCTTGGGTTTAGTCCTCCAGACTGGATAAAAGAAGTTACTCTTTCAAGGTTACAAATCCTATTTTCTTCATTAAAGAAAATATTGCCATTCTTCCCCTTGTCACTTCCTTTAATGTTACGTTGAAAGGCTTACATAATGCACTCTGTGTATATTTATTCATACATATTTTTGTTTTTTTTTTCTTATTCATACTTTCCTTACTGTTCTTTTGAATTTTTCCCCAAGAGTACAGTAATGCTGTTGTCTTAAAAAAAACATTTAAAAAATGGGGTATAAGTTGAAAAATGGACAATTCCGTTTGAACGTAAGAAGATACCTTTCCATGGTGAAGGGCAGTCAAACACTGGAACAGGTTGTCTGGAAAGGTGAAGTCTCTGTGCTTGAAGACACTCAGCACCGAACTGGATGTGATCCTAGGGAACCTGCTGTAGCTGAAAGCTGCTTGAGCAGGTGGTTGGCAGAGGTCTCTTCCAGCTTCAGCTGTTGAGAGGGGGGGAGTAAGAAGAAAAACAAAGAATGATACCATGAATTGTGGTTTCTCAGTGCAATAGTAGTATTAAGGATATGTTATCTCACAGACTATCCCAATTATCTATTTGAATTTTACTCTAAAACAAGCAACTCGGAACCCCCTCATTTAAAGCTAATTGTTTCAGCCTTACTGTTAAATCCATTAAGGCTTATGAGGGCTCCAAATCTAGTAATTCAGCCTAAGAGCTGTTCACTTTAGAAGCTGAAGGATGCGTTTAAAACAAGAAACTTGCATGCCCCCACCCCACAGTGAAACTTCTTGCAGGCTGTGGTCTTTGTGCCATGTTTCAAGTAGGCTGGGTAGCATTTCACAGAGAAGTCTGGAATAGCTTCCTCAGATTTCGGAGCTGTGACCCTTTTACTGCTTTATGTGATGCTGCCCCGAGTTTGGTTTCTTTGCTAGCACTGAGCAAATAGTGCTCGAGTTGCAAGATGTTTCATCTGAATGAAAATATTAACAGTATATGAGAGTTTGCGTCATTAGAACTCTGGCAAAAAGCAAAGGCCATGAAGTTGTCAGAGGCTTTGGCAGGTGTTAATGGAAAGCTTTACAAGGTTGGTAACGTTATTACAGAGCTGATGGTATACATGTTATACTCGCTTCCACTTGAGGCTTCCTTTCAACTAAGAAATTGAGAGTTGTCTGGACTCAATCGTCAAGATGTCTGCTCTGGTGAGTGAGACACCACCACCTGGAGTACTGTGTCCAGCTTTGAAGTCCTCAAGAAGGTCGTGAACCTCTTGGAGGGGGTCCAGAGGAGGGCAACAAAGATGATCAGAGGGCTGGAGCACCTTTCTTATGAAGACAGGCTGACATTTGGGGTTGTTCAGCCTGGAGAAGGCTCTGGGGAGACTCTGCAGTGGGCTTCGAGGGCTGGAGCACCTTTCTTATGAAGACAGGCTGACATTTGGGGTTGTTCAGCCTGGAGAAGGCTCTGGGGAGACTCTGCAGTGGGCTTCCAGTATCTGAAGGGGGCCCACAGGAGAGATGGGGAGGGACTCTTTATCAGGGAGTGGGGCAATGGGATGAGGCATAATTGTTTTAAACTGAAAGAGGGGAGATTTAGATTAGATATCAGGAAGAAATTCTTTCCTGTGAGGATGGTGAGGCACTGGAACAGGTTGCCCAGAGAAGCTGTGGCTGCCCCATCCCTGGAGGGGTTCAAGGCCAGGCTGGATGGGGCTTGGAGCAACCTGCTCTGGTGGGAGGTGTCCCTGACCAGCGCAGGGGGGTTGGAACAAGATGATCTTTAAAGTCCCAACTTAAACCACCCTACGGTTCTGTACCCCAATAACCCCCGTCACAAAGCGGCAGTGGTCCCTCACTCTCTGAGGCAGAGAGTGCTTGGCTGCACCGTTACCGGCAGCTCCGGTGCGGTGGGCTCGGCACCAAGACCCCGCCGTACCCCGAGGGGCGGGGGGGCGCTGGATCCGCCGCACCGAGCCCGTCCTCCGCCGCTTCCTGCCGGCGCGGGGCGGGACCGGTGAGGCCGAACTCTGCCCGCCCCGCCCGGGTCCGCCAGCGGGGGCGGAGAGCCGCCGGCAGCGCGGGCCATGGCGGGCCGGAACGCGGGCACCGAGCTGGGTAAGGGGCGGCGGCCTGCGGGGAGGGGCCGGAGGTGGGGGGTCCGTGGAGGCGGGCCTGGCCCCCGGTTCTTCCAGCCTAAACTGTTGGCTGCGGAGCCGTGAGGGGGCTCCCGAAGGCGGTGACTCGGGCAGGGCCGCCCGCCCCGGCAACGGGCGAAGAGCCGGTGAGCGCCCGGGAGAGTGAGGCGGCGGGTGGCTCCCGGCTGAGGGGCCGGGCCTCCCCCCCCACGCTTTCCCCCAGCGGCTGAGCCACCTCTGCGAGCCAGGCTGCTGCAAAGCCTTGCTTTTTGTGAAAAGCCGAAATAGAAATGGAGTTACGGTTCCTTTAGATCCTCCAGCCTACACTCGTGGCGTCCCCTCCGGGCTGTCTCTGCAGCCGGGAGGCCCCCAGGAGCTGCTCCTCAAGCAGGAGCTTGAGGTTTGCCCGTCACCTATGGCCTCGGCTCGGGAGGCTCCAACAAGGGACTTGGTGGCCCCAAAGCTGGGCCTGGGCCCCTCCTGTGCACTTCTATGGTTCCCTCTGAATAATCCTCTCACCCTCCCTCTTCCCCAAGAGGTTCCAAGCACTTTTTCTTTTGTTGGTTGGGTTCTGATTTGTAAACTTGGGACTTTACCTCTCCTTATCGTTCTTGTTGCTTGCTCTCTGAAGACTGATAAGCATTCTCCAGGTGTTGGCAAGCGTTCGCTGGGCCTGGAAGGTGACTGTGCCTCAGGTAAGGCAGAGAGCAGCCAAGAAAGAGTTTCTTTTGCCTTTTCCCGGCTGGAGCTCCCTTCTGCTTCTCTCCTTTCTGGGGAAAGGAGAAGGGGAGACAGCTTTCTGACTTCTCCACCCAGCAAACCCCAACTGCAGCGGTGGAGTGAATTAAGGTGATTAGCCATCCTGCAGTCTGCCTCTAAGGCATGATAATTTTGTCAATACCAGTCGGTGGACGATCAAGAGGAGGAGGTACAGGGATGGTGTCATGGAAGACGGGAAGCAAAGGCCAGCTGGTGTGGAACAGGGAGATCTCCAAGTTAGCAGGAGCAGGGTTCAGGAGGCCATGCTGCATGGTGTCACGTGTCTGCTTTCCTGTCTGGCAGGAGCACGGACTTTTTTTGCAGAGCTAACGTGCAGTTTAAATGATTCACCTGTGGACAGCTGAAAGTTGACTGTGTTGTCATTCTTCCAAATGACTGGCATGTTCTAACTTTTACAAGTGAACCGTTGAGTTGCTCTCTGACGTGCTTAGCTGTGGGCTGCTTGCAGGGACGCGTGAATTTCAGCTGTCGCTGTCAGAACAGCATCTTTTTGCTGAAACAAACATGTTGATAGTATAGCAGCAAATCTTTGGTGTCCATTAGGAAAAAAGCTAGCACGGAAGTTTGCTAGTGCACTCCGGTTACTTTAAGCTAGGCGTGTGTTAATGCTTTTCCAGTTCTGGGCTCCCCAGTTCAAGAGAGACAGGGAACTACTGGAGAGAGTCCAACGTAGGGCAACTAAGATGATTAAGGGGTTGGAGCACCTCCCTTACAAGGAAAGGCTCAAAGAGCTGGGGCTCTTTAGCCTGGAGAAGAGAAGGCTGAGGGGAGACCTTATCTACATTTACAAGTACCTAAAGGGTGGGTTGAAGGATGATGGAGCCAGACTCTTTTCGGTGGTTTCCAGCAATAGGATGAAGGGCAACGGGCACAAGCTGGAACATGGGAAGTTCCACTCAAATATGAGGAAAAACTTCTTTATGGTGAGGGTGGCAGAGCCCTGGCAGAGGCTGCCCAGGGAGGGTGTGGAGTCCCCTTCTCTGGAGATCTTCAAGCCCCGCCTGGATGCTCCTGAGTGATGTGGGCAACCCTGCTTTGGCAGGGGGGTTGGACTAGATGATCTCTAGAGGTCCCTTCCAACTCTGACAATGCCATGATTCCGTGAATTCACATGCAATATGCATAGGGAATCCAGAGACTTGAATGTGAAGCCAGTTCAGTTCACAGAACGGCAGAATGGTAGGGGTTGGAAGGAACCTCTGGAGATCATCTAATCCAACCCCCCTGCCAAAGTGAGTTCACCTAGAGCAGGTTGCACAGGATTGCATCCGGATGGGTCTTTAATGTCTCCAGAGGAGACTTCACAACCTGTCTGGGCAGCCTGTTCCAGTGCTTTGTCACCCTCAAAGTAAAGAAGTTGTTCCTCATGTTCAGATGGAACTTGCCGTGTTCCAGCTTGTGCCTGTTGCCCCTTGTCCTGTCGCTGGGCTCTACTGAAGAGTCTGGCCCCATTCACCTCTCAAAGAGTCATCCTCTGTCAGACAGGCATTCATGTAAGGAAGGCCATGCTGCCAAGTGGGAGATTATTAGAAGGGACAAGTGACCTCACTAACGTTTGGCCGGATCTTGCTGAACAACCATAGTCAAGGGAAAAGTATTCAATATGCAGCTGACCTGCACAACATAATTATTGTTTTTTTGAACCCACTAAACCAATCTCTGAGTATGTTCCAAATATTTTGGACAACTCTTTCTCCTCCTTTCTCCTTTGTGTATATATATATGCACACACAAGTAAGTACTCTGAGTAATGAATAATTAGTTACAGTTGTTTTGCAAAGTATGTTCTTGGATTCTAGAAAAAAATAATTCTATCTGTGTTGCTCAGCCCCTCAAGTTGAAGGGCCAGAAATATATTCATTATGTTTCAATTGATATTTTTAATTATAGTTGGTATTTCTGAGCCATTTACATGTGAGAGCTAGCCTGTTGGTAAGTGGCATTTAGATAATGAAGTGTTGCATCCCTTTTCAAGACAGCGTAATTCTGTTCTAATATATTAATAGCTGGTTTTAGACTGCGCTGGGGCTATGTTTCTTCACTGTTCCTTTCTAACACCTTTTGAATGTGCTGGGTAATTTTAATCAAATTTGAAGGACAGATAGATGTCTCAGAAATAAGTAAGTCATTGAGTAGAGTGACCAAATTAGTCCCTCTGTTGAGGATAAGGCAGGCTCTGATCAGCAATTACATGGCTTTTCATGACATCTTTTTTTGGGGGCTTTATTTGGGGATTGTTCAGCCTGGAGAAGAGGAGGCTCCGGGGAGACCTTATAGCGGCCTTTCAATATCTGAAGGGTGCCTATAGAAGAGCTGGGAAGGGACTCTTTGCCAGGAAGGGTAATGATAGGACAAGGGGAAACGGTTTTAAATTGGAAGAAAAAAGATTCAGATTAGATCTCAGGAAGAAATTTTTTACTATGAGGGTGATGAGACACTGGCCCAGGTTGCCCAGGGAAGTTGTGGCTGCCCCATCCCTGGAGGGGTTCAAGGCCAGGCTGGATGGGGCTTTGAGCAACCTGCTCTGGTGGGAGGTGTCCCTGCCCAGGGCAGGGGGGTTGGAACTCGATGATCTTTGAGGTCCCTTCCAACCCAAACCATTCCATGACTCTATGATTCTATGCAAGTAGCAATATCCTGTTTTACTCCGTGGTCACAGGGACCATAACAGGGACAGCTGGGTTACTGGTGTGAGGAGAGGCCTCTGGAGCCAGGAAAGAAAAGAGGGGACAACAGAGGACATGGACCTGCAGGCAACCAAGTTGTTCTATAGCTCACTTTCTCAGGAAAGGCTTGCCATCGGTTTTCAAAGTGCTTTGGAGGATATCGTGATCCCTTTTGTGTGATCCATGGTCAAGATTATGTGATTTCACTAATGTCACAAGGTAACAGAGCTGATTTCTAGCTCAGGGCTCATGCTGTGGTGTCCTGCTTTGAGTATCTGATGACTTGGAGACTGAACTTCTTTCGTGTAAGGAGGACCCATCTGAAAATAAAATAGATCCATAGCAAGACTCACTGTGGGAAAGTAAGTACAGCTTCTGTCTCCCAGAAACTGAATAATCCCCAAACCTCTCAAGAGCTTACATGGTATGATAACTGTAACAAGACCTGATCCTGAAGCCTTTTCTCTCTCGTCAGTGGCTTTGCTCAGCTATGCATGGCCAGCTGGGGTCAGCCTGCGTCCAGCTGAATCCCTCATTTCTTCCCTAAAGGTTCAGGACACAATTTCACTCACTTCCCCAGAAATACCAGCCTTCATCACTTCCCTTACCCAGCTTATCATGTGTTCATGGTAAGAGCAGGAGCACACATGCTGTTTCTGGCACAGAGGAGGAAATAATTAGTTGGGGGGAGCAGCTTCTTTTGGGGACAGTGCTGCCTTAAAATTCTTGTGAAACTACAGCCTCGGGCATTCTTGAGCTTTCTGTTTCACCATCTGAAGGGATGCCATCTACACATTTTTTTTTTTTAAAGCTTCTGCAAAGCTTAGTCTGTTTTATGAGGAATGTGTTAGGTATCTGAGATATTTATGTAATTATACTAATTAAGTGGTTTTATTTATTGTTTTCTGAGGAAATGCTTGGTATTTTTGGATTCCTGTTCTTCAAAGAGAGAAGATGAATTTCCTGTTAAGATTTCGAATATGATTTTTTCGAATGTCTTCAGAGGAAAAAGTAAACTTGAAGAATGATTACAGAATATTGGCTAATTAGCTATAGTGTAACTGCTTTAATTACTTTTATCCCTGAAGCCACATGACTGTGCAGATGACTAGCAGATGACTTATTTAAAAAAAAAAAAAAAAGACGTGTTCACACTGCAAGGTTAATGAGCCTAATTAAATATAGTTTTCCTTAGCCAGATACTAAATCATAAAGCTTGGGGGAGTGGGGGAAGGGGAGAATCCAAAGGCAGTCAGTTCTATTTCAAATAATGGTTTTATTCTGATTTTTAATGCAAAAAAAAAAAAAAAAAAGCTGGAATTGTGTGTGGTTTTTCTGAATAGAGGCACTTACATTTAAAGATTTGGTGAGACCTCACATGGCAAACTTTGAAAGTCTATTTAGAGGCAATTATGCCGAGACATATTTGTTTTCACTTGCCCACTGTTTTAATTAATGGAGAAGTGGGCTTGGATAAAAGGTCTGTGTTGGGTAGAAGCCTCCATCTGCTGCTGCATATTACTAGAACCTTTGTCCTTCCTCACTGTGTAGTTTTTTTATTATACCAGTTTATTTCCTTTAGTAAGTTGCATGTCTCACGTTAAGCTGTACAGACACTTCTGATTTCTTTTTAATTATTTTAATTTTTTTTAAAGTTTTCTGCCTTTGCTTTGCGCAGTGGTTCAATATCCCACCTTCAAAAATATATTTGGAGATCTAAATTCTATGGTCTTTCAAAGAAACTTATATCTCGGGCACAAAAATTAGATATTGCACCTTATTGAGTTGCCATGTGTGAGCTACCTTCATGGCTAGTCTGGAATTATTAAAAACAGAAGGTATAGGGTGTTACAGAAATGAAAAAGATTTCAGCCAATGAATTACATACAACGACAGTACGTTTCTACCAAAGTCCAGCACAAGAGGACTACGACTGAATCTGCTCCAAATAATAAGTAACGAAGGGTTAAACTACTCATGGGGCAAATTTTTTCACTTAAATTTAGATTGATTCCCTGAGAACCAGGAAGATGAAAATTTTCCATGTTGGACAAACTGGATGCTTTCTCCATAGTCTTCCTAAGCCTTCTACAGAAGGCAGTAATTTTTATAAATTAATTATTTACTTGGATTTCTTGGTGGTTTTTCGTAATGTAGAAGGAATAGGTTGGGGTAGAGTAACTGAAGCTTCTTGATCCCCTATTACAGAGCAAGAAGCCGAGTACCTCATCTAAACTGCTCGCTTTAATTTTTGTTAAGTTTTTCAAAGGGGCTGAAAGGTCACTGTACACCCAGTAGGGTTCAAAAGTTATTTTTGTTAAATTACATTATGATTAAACGATTCCACCTGAGCACTTGGTGTGTAGTAGGAGAACCACAACACAGAGTTTGCGTTTCCTTTATTTATTTATTTATTTGTGTTTTCCTACCCTATGGACTTTGTCAATTTTTGCCTCTAACGTGGGAATCGTTGTATCACGTAGGAGTCTCAACTTCAAAGCAACTGCAGAGGATGTAGAGGTTTCACCAGCTTGTATTTCAGCTGTCTGTGTTGATATGGTTTGCATTTATTGATATTCAAACAGAAGGAAAGTTTAGGCCATGGGATTTGTAGCAATGGCTTTTCTCACTTGTGTTCTTCGTGTCGGTTGAGCTTCTTGCTCCTGGGGCGGAATGAATAAGCCTTGAAAGTGGAGAGAAGTAATGAGGGTTTGTTGTTTGACTGGTTTGCTACTTTGCAAGCTCCTCCTTTTCTTTGTTGCCATACAGTGAGACTGATGCTAAAGTCTTATAAAATCATTAAATTCCTTGGGATTCCTTTGAAATTCCTGCTTTGGTTTACCTTTTTTTTTTTGCTTTTGGCCAACATTTTGACCTTGCGGGTACTGCTCATTTAATTACTTGTATGTGGTAATAGGAAAGTGGTAGCAAGGTGGCTTAGTGTGCTCAGAAGAACATTTCATTTAGCTGGGTTTTCATGCCTTTGTCTTGCATTTCCACTGAGTCATCTTTGCCCTAGATTGGTTTCTCCAGAGCTTTTTGTAGGTCTAATTAAGAAAACAAGCTTGTATTTACACACACTTTAGCTAGCATATTCGTTGTGCACTTTTTTTGGCTATTAAAACTGGAAAGTTGGAAGAAAAAAAATTGAGGATGAGATTTCTGTACAAAATCAGTGATTTTGGCGATTGCCTTTTTTGAAAGTTTTAAACCTTTTTTAATCAGTGTGCTTGAGGGAAATGCAGGTCTAACACAGTAGTGAAGAAGACTCGTAGAGATGAGATGCTCTTAATAAATTAAGTCACCCAGGATTATTATCTCTTAGTATGTGAGCCCATGCATATACTGACCTTAACTGATGATGGTGTTTGATGATTGATGGTGCTGATTTGCTGATGATTGGTGGTTAATGATTGTTGATGTTTGTCTTCAGAGTATTTTCATGGATTGCTTACATGACTAATATTTAGAAGAATTATTTATGTTTTGGCATGTAAGAGATTTTAGAGATTATGTGCTTTTTTTTTTTTTCTGTGCACATCTTTGGGCAGTTTGTGTTTATTAAAATTCAGAATTATGCTTTTGGTTTATCATACTGAGCAGAAATTTCAAGATTGAAGGGCCTGAACCCTCAGTTCTCCTTTATCAATCAGTTACCTATTGTTAGGCAGCGTCCAATTTCTGGTGGTTCTGTTTTTAGACAGTTACATCATTTTAGTAAGCGTTGAGTATCTGCTTCTCTTTGGGTCTGGTTATTGTTTATGGATACTGAAGCTCCGTGGAGTTGTGACCCAGGCTGTCTGCAGTGGGCTTCTGAAGGAATTCACACCTTGAAGGTGTTGCCCTGAGTCCTCCAGGGTTCTGGGCAAGGTGAGCACTTCTCAGGCCAGCAGGCATCTCAGCAGCCTCCAGGCAGACACGTTGCCCAGGAATTCAGTGCTTTTGGAAAGCAGTTAGCCATACCCTAGTAGCAAATTCAGTAAAATTAGCTCTAGACTCTAGACAACTCAAATTTATTGTTATGCAAGGGTCTGTCCAGAGGTTTTGGTGCCTGTGTGGGGTGCAATTATCATACTCTGGAATCAAAAAGTAAATCAGCAAGCAATGGCAGAAGGCTGTTTTGTGTTTTTTTTTTCTTAATATGCTACATGTATAATAAACTTCATAGTCCAAGACTGGCAACATAGTGTCTCTCTTCAGCAGTAAGGTAAATAACGGCAAACAAAACATGCTGTGTGACACATCCAGTGCACACATCATACCCTAACAGAAGTTAATGCTATTATGATATTTGGGACTGGTGATAAATAAGTGAGCCCTTAAAAGGACATAAAAGCACAACATACTGTTCGGAGGTCCCAAACCAAACTACAACGTTCTTCTGAAGTCCTACACCGTATATTAAAAGAACACAGAAATAAATTAGACTTTTTTTTTTTTTTTTCTTTTTTTATTCCCACCCCAGAACTCGGCTGGATCTCAAAAGTGCATGTGAATCGACCTGCAGTTGTGAGGCATGCAGAACAAATTAAAAAATGGAGAACTGTGAAAGGTAATTGGCAAGTAAGTGCTCTTTTTATGCATTCTGTTCCTGTATTTTTAAATCAGTCACTCTCCCTCTCCAGGCTGCAATATTGAATTTTTTTCAAGATGCATGTAAACTTAAAAGATGTGCTTGTCCGTGTCTTATTTTAATAATTTGTATTTGATGATGATGGGATGGAATAAGGCGATGCATTTATCCCAACAAGTTAAAAACCTTATAACTCATGAGTGGCAAAACCGCAAATGAATTTAAGTCATCTTTATTCATGAGTGGATTAAATTGTATATTACTATCCCACCACATTTATTCTGTTTCCCAGACAGACTTCTCTGCACGCTCCCTTCTTATTTTTTAATTTTAAGGTTGTAAGATATCATCACGGTCCCTGTCAAGTTTGACCTACCTGGATGATTTTTCTTCACTTAAACATCCCCAACATGTGTGATTTTTTTGCTTAACTAGTTCTTGCGTAAAACTCAAAAATCCTGAGTGGCTGTGGCACTAGGGGGGAGAAAGGGAAAAAAAAAAAGGGAAAAAAAAAAAGGGAAAAAAAAAAAGGGAAAAAAAAAAAGGGAAAAAAAAAAAGGGAAAAAAAAAAAGGGAAAAAAAAAAAGGGAAAAAAAAAAAGGGAAAAAAAAAAAGGGAAAAAAAAAAAGGGAAAAAAAAAAGGAAAAAAAGAAAGAAAGAGAGAAGGAAGGAAGGAACGATGAGCATAGATCCTGTGGACCACAGTTTGGGGATGATTTGATGTAGTTGTGTAAGATCCTTCTGGCAGGTGATATACAACAACTTCCTGCCTGTTACATGAACCTGAAAGTCTGAACCTGCTTTTAATGTTATGATTAAATAAAAAATGGACATAAATTGAGGAAAGTTAGACATTAGCTTATGTGTGAGTTTCTCACACGTAAAAAGTCACTTGATACCAAGTTTAGCAGTCCAGCAGCTCTGGGTTGGGAAATAATGTCAGTGATAAAATCCAGAGGGTATTCCATAACCTTGGCTATCTTCACATGCTGCAGGTGCAGTAATATAAAAAGTCTTCTGATTTATCAGAATTCACTGTATAAAGAACAAAGAAATAGAGAGCCACAGGCTTTGGTTACAAAGAATCACTGGGAAGAAAGGCATTTAGTGTCGCTCCCTCAATATGGCTGTAGGACAAATGTTTAATTATTACTAACACTTCTCCGCTCTCTTGTGTGGTGACACTGGTACTGAGCTACTCAGGTGAGGTTTTACTTTGAAGAATGCCAAGAGATTATTTTCAGAAGCATTTCTCCTGTATTTGAACACTGTCATTGCAGTCACGATATTCGTGTGCTGTTTATTTCACAGAGGTGATTTTGAACCTTTACGTGTTTAAATCTAAGTAGCACCGTATTCAAATTGTGAAGCCCATTTCCGAAAATACTCAACTTGAAAAACCCTTTTTAAAAAATCAAGTTCATACCAGTTCTTGGAACTCCCTGACTGCATCTGGCTTGATGATTTTATGATTCATGTCATAAGAGGTGAGACAAAAATTCCCTCGAGTGAAGGATAAAAAAAAATCCAAGTAAAAGAAACTTAAAACAATTTAAAGTGAAAAACCTTTCTGAAGTATTCTAGGGTGAAAGTAGAAATCTGTTAGAAACAAGCACTGAAGCTTAGACTAACAGAGGAAGGTAACGGTTCGTTACTCTGTTTAGTCACCCCAAAGTAGCTTTCAGTGTAACATTTACTGCAAGTTCAGAAAGGTGACTCCCATCAGCAAAGTGTGAAAGGTTTGTAGGCTGGCCAACATCTTAAGATACCTCCATGAAGAAACAGCAAATTTTTCTGCCTATACTGACAAATCGTGTCACAGAACAGGGCAGTCAGGGAGAGACCTTAAGAACTCGAGTGAACTTTGCTTGTTGCAGACTCTCCCCTTGTTGAACAAGTTCCCACTAGGAGATGTCAGCTTTTATTGAAACCATCACTGTAAGTGAGAATTTGCTGGAAGACCTTCAACAAATATTTCAAAATCACGTCTTAAGCTCAATTTTTGTTCAGCACAAAATCTCAAAAAATTGTTAGTTGAGCTTCTGTTCCATTCTCCAATTAGTAAGTCTTTTGAAATTCTGTAGCATTTTCATCTAAAGAGTGTTTTAGCCCTGTCACTTAGCTCTTGCTTTTGTTTGTTGCATCAGATAATTACTGATGTTTTTTATTCCTGATTCACACAAAAGAAAGTGGAAACATGTGGAGTCTAGACCCTAAGTTTTAAGAAGTCTGGGTTCTTACCCCCTACTGATGCCATGTTTCACGCTCACAGCAGGAGAAGCATGCAAACACACAAGTGTGCAAATTGCTGGTGTGTACACTCATCTGCTTATTGGCAATTGCAAACCTATGTGTATAATTTTTTGTGCATGCAAGCTCTAAAGATACAGACATAACAATGAGGTTCCTCATACAGGTGATTTTTTTATCGTTGTCTTATAGAATTAAATTTGAAACAAGATGCTTTTTGTCCCGGTAAAAATGTCTGTCTGATTCTGAGAGTCCCATTTGGTAGTTAGCTTTTGCACCAAAAATTGGAATTAGATCCTTTGATTTTGAGAGAGCTGGCTTCTGATTCCAAATCCTTTCTGTGCCATTAGATACTGCTCAAGACATGACCAAATGTCTGCCATCCTTATTCTTACAGTGAGAGCCAGGCTTCTGATTCCTGCATCTTTTAAGTCGGTTTGGTTTTGGAAGCATAAGCTGAAATATCATATTTCCTGTTTCACTCCCTATATAGGCTGCTTGGCTGCTGAAAGCTGTTACCTGCATAGACCTTACCACGCTTTCAGGTGATGATACTCCTTCAAATGTTCACAGATTGTGCTTTAAAGCAAAGCATCCCATCAGAGAGGATCTGCTGAAAGCCTTGGATATGCATGATAAAGGTATGATTGGTTTTGTTGTGTGTGTTGTGTAGGGAAAATCTCTGCATTTCCTCAGTATTTTTTCAATTTTCAGATGATAGCTGTAAAAATGGCCTCCTCTTCATATAATGGAAGCAGTTATGGTAGGCAGCACTACAGAGCTAATAGTCCCAAGAGAACAAACTAGATCTTATGGAGTCTTATTCAAAGCAACTGTCTTAAGTTCTAGCTGCAAAATATCTATTCTGTTGAGTGAATATAAGAATACAAGGAGAAAAAAAAATCCACTCTCATTTTGGCAACCAAAGTGAAGCATGAACTCAGGGTGACACTGTAAGTTATGATATCTTATAAGCAAATTTGATATGAAAGCCACAAGTGTGGAACCTCAGTGCATGTCTTTTAATAACAGTGCACTAAGGTGAAACTAATTGAGTATTCTGTTAATTTGCTGATGTCCTTACTAAATTGGAGAAAGGGGGGGAGTGTTCACATGACTGTTTTGGATTTCATGCTTAGCTGCTGTCGCTGTATGTAACCACCAAGCCTGCAACTTTGCCTGTTGGAAAAGATGCATTCCACAGTCCTGAGCATGTTATTTTTTACTTCAGAAAACGTTATTTGTTACCTGCATATATCAGTACTTAGGCAACATCTTTGCAGCCCAGTCTGCTCTAAGGAATCAGTCCTGTAGTGAGTATATGTGGTTGTGTGCATATCACGTATACACACACAGAGCTCCCAGCCAAGTCAACAGAGTTGAAGGGGCAGAAGACAACCCTTAAGAACTAGCAGTAAAATTTTCATTGATATTACCCAAGCAGGCTCCATCTGATGTCCCAGTGTTTCACCCAAGACTGAACACGATGCAACTTCAGAGCAAATTGAGACTGTGCATATATAACTACCAATAAAACCCCTCTATATCTGAGCAGATCTTCTGAATTTTTCCAGATGTAAACACTGATGTGTCAGTGAATAGCATTTGACTTTTGTCCCATCATTTGGCCTTATCATGATCTGTCAAAAACAAGTCTCAGTGACATTTGGGGCATGCTTTTACTATTGAAATATTTCAGTTTTACATGGGCATTGATTCACTGATTGAAGTCATACCATGTAAAACCAAAGAGGCATCAGCCCTCTGGTTTTGAGCCATACACATAAAATATCAAAGACTAGTCTTTTTGTAAAACTTGGATTTATGGACTCTTCAGACAGCTGAAGTATTAAATATGAGGTCAATTATCTGAGAGTGAGAGAAGAGCATTTTAACTAGAAATGCAGTAGGACTGCATTAACATAAAGACTGCTCGGTTGCTGCTGGGCTTAGTCTGGCTCAACAAGTAAGGACAGAGCTTGGCAGTGCAGTTTCTCTCGCAGTAATTTGCTGACTAAGCATGTCTTAACTGAGCATGTTGGCATTAAATGGTGAATCTGTTGTTAAGCAACTTGGCATTTTAATTCCTGCTGAGGCAGACTTGCTCCCAGGGTCAGCTGAAGGAACATGAGGGAGGTAACAATATGGAGAATCACCTGAAGGGTTTGAACAAGAAAACAGATATCCCTGCTGTTGGTGCTTCAAAACCTTGAGAGAACGCAGAAGTGGGAGGTGCAAACGATGCACACATGCTCATAATATGGATTGCACTAGAGAAGGTGGAAATCTATGGATGTGAAAAAGTGAACTGTGGCTTTTTCAGGTATTACTGTTGGAGCGGTTTGTGTATATCCTGCAAGAGTCGCCGATGCTGTTAATGCCCTAAAAGCTGCTGGTTGTAATATACCAGTAGCTTCAGGTACGTTTTATTCTAAAATATCCAATTATATATTTTTATGCTATAAAACATATAGAAGAATCCAGAAGTTTGGACTTGCTTTTGTTAGAGTAAGATACAAAGGCAGCAGGGCGAAGGAGGGGAATGAAGGGGAGGATTTCCTTCTGGTACAGTCTTTTGTTTTCTTTCAACTTCAAGCTTATCAGCAATACCAAATCTGTTTTGTTGGAAGCTCTTCAAAGAGGTACTTGAGATCTATCAGTGTTTCCCTCACCTGAACAGAAGAAATTGCAATAGTGTGGAGGACTAAGTATCAGTAGACCAAGTAGATAATAATAATGAAACTAAAATATGAGATTTTAGGAGTTCTAATACAAGGGGTTTTTTTCCCTATCAGTTGTTTGGCTTTTAAGTATAATCCTACAAGCTGAATTCAGTGAAGCTGTGCAGAGGCAGGGGTTATTTCCTGCAGAGCAGGTTCAGAACTTGTACTCACAAATCTAATAGTGGCAGCTCTTCTCCAGTCACCACACACAACAAACGAGTCCTGAATCTACAATAAGCAAAAGTAGAATCAAAGAATTATGCAGGTTGGAAGGGAGCTCTGGATGTCATCTGCTCCAACCTCCTGCTCAAAGCAGGGGCTAACTTTGAAGTTAGATCAGGTGTTTAATGCTAAGATCTATGTTTTTTGGTTTTGGTGGGGTTTTTTTTGTTTCTTTGTGGATTTTTTTTGGATTATTGTCTAGGGAAAAATATGTACTAAATGTATTTATATGTCAGAGAGAAAGAGGATCTCTTTGTCACGGATCCTCTTTGTCATTATTTCTTCAATTGCCAAAGTTACCTTTGGGTTTTGTACTTAAGCATCATAAAGGTAATCTGAAGTAGACTTCTATAAAACCAATTTTTGCTGTATTGTGATTTAGCTGTTAAAGTATTACTGGGATTTAACTTGAAATACTACTTAAAAGAATTGGGGAGAATGAAAAATGTATGTATTGCTTCATATATGAGTTTGCTCCTTGTTTGCTCAATTCTACTGGAGGCAATAGAAATTATGCTTTCTCATGTAGATTGCTTTGGAAAAATTTAAGGCAAGTGAAAGAGACCTTTTTGCAAGATATACCTAGTATCTTGGTGGACATCGGTTCTTGAAGGAAGAGCAAATACTTGTGGATGAAGAGAGCATAGGATGAGGTGCCTTTAGATTTTTTGAGTTGTGGCAGGGATAAAAAAACTTTCAAACTCTTTGGTGTATTAGGGGTATTTCCAATTTTCTGATCAATTTATAAAGCATTTTCTTCCTTCTGCCTGCATCCTTCTTGTTAGTGGCTGCTGGATTTCCATCTGGACAAACTCCTCTAGAAACCAAACTGGCTGAAATAAAGCTAGCTGTGGAATATGGTGCCAGAGAGATTGACATTGTCATTAGCAGGAGCCTGGTGCTGACTGGCCAGTGGGAAGGTAAGTCCTCACCCTTGGGCAAGGAACCTGAACCTCTCCATGTGCATATGCAAGTTCTGTCTTTGTCTCTTCCCTGAGTCTCCACATCAGTCCTTGGAGAACGTTGTTCCTCCCCTAAGTGGCCAATCATCTAGAGCACTGAGCTAAATAAAAACTATTTAACTAATTTATGACTCATGGTCAGATATATTTTTTTTTTTAAAGAATGCTGTTACGAGTTCTGTCAGGTTGGGTATTCAGAATGACTTTGTGTTGGAATACTCGGGTCTATTCCTTCTGTGCTTTTAGAGGATTTTGTATACAGGATTAAAAAAATAGCAAGTGGAATGGAAGTGAATGCCTATGGTCTAATTATTTGAACAGTTTTGTTAAAACCCCCAAGGGGCTGCTAATGTAGTTGATACCTTGTTAAATATACCTGTTTCAATTCTTGACAAAAATATGTATTTTAGTCATTTTCTTTTCCCTGAAAGTTGAGGGTACAAATTGACTGTTCATATTATTATTGATGTTCTTGTGCCTCTAGACTACTACTAATTAGTAAGAACAATAATGCTGAAGATGGTTTTTGCTCTAATTGCCTCCTTAATGTACTGCGAATGGTTTGCCTTAAGTGCTGACAATGCTTCTATAACTAATCTCCATGTGAAGGTAAACACATCACTGTCTTGGAATAAATTTTCCATTCAGTTGTATAATGCATTGCTGTAATAGCCTGTTTGCTTGGAAGACTTTATAAAGGACCCTGGTACCTGAGTTTGGTTAAGGAAATACAATAATCATGGTAACAATCTCATTTTGTGATTTTGATCTTCCTTCAGCTAGCAGTTAGAATTGAACCAAACCCCAAGTTTCTGCGTCTGTGTCTTCAGGACTGATGGCCTGGTTTCTACTTGCTGTAACATCTTGGCCTCTTTTGTAGTATTTACCACCTCATTTTCTTTGTTTCTAAATACATGCAGCTTTACAAATGTTTGACTTCTTGAGGACGGGCATTGTTGCAGATATTTGTTTCTTTCAGAGCGGGTATTTTAAGTTTGGATATGGCCCCAGAAATTGCCAGAATATGGAAACGGGGTGATTGAGCAGTTTTAAATAAGACAGAATGATGGTCAAATTCTGTACCAGCTGGTAGCAAGACTATATGCACACCTTTCACTGAATTTCACTGAATTTTAGAGTTGGAAGGGACCATAGAGTCCAACTCCCCTGCTGAAGCAGGATTGCCTAGAGCTAGAGCATGTTACTCAGGAGCATCCAGGCGGGTCTTGAAAATCTCCAAAGAAGGGGACTCCACACCCTCCCTGGGCAGCCTGTTCCAGGGCTCTGTCACCCTCACCGTGAAGAAGTTTCTCCTCATATTTGAGTGGAACCTCTTATGTTCCAACTTGTGCCCGTTGTCCCTCGTCCTCTCACTGGGAACCACTGAAAAGAGTCTGGCTCCCTCCTCCTTCAACCCTCCCTTGAGATACTTGTAGGCATTGATAAGGTCTCCCCTCAGCCTTCTCTTCTCCAGACTAAAAGAGTCCCAGCTCTCTCAGTCTCTCCTCATAAGGGAGATGCTCCAATCCTTGAATCATCTTTGTTGCCCTTTGCTGGACTCTTTCTAGTAGTTCCCTGTCCCTCTTGAACTGGGGAGCCCAGAACTGGACGCAGTACTGGACGCAGTACCTTCCTGCGCTGTGTCTTTGTTAGGGTCTACCCTGTGGTCTACAAGGCAGGTATCCTGTCCAGGTGCTGCTCTTCACTAAGATCACGTAAAGGTCTTGGGTACCAAACAAGCCGAGTGATCTGTCACCAAGACTAAAAACCACCACTAAACTGGGCTTGAGCAGCAACTTGAAATTGTGTCTGAAAAGGTCTGTATTACAGCAATTTCTGACCTAACTTCATGGTGCAAACCGCCGATAAGTGCACGTTGCAAAGAGCAGAGATCAGAGGGTCAGTGCCTGTAGGCAGTTGCAAATGCAGGCTCGAGGTTATAATGCCTGGGATTACACGAAGGAGGACACGGAGGAGAAATAAAGGGCTAGATTCAGAGAGAATGTTTGTATCAGTGATTGGAATGAAGCGGATACACGTTGTTAGGTTTTTCTATACAGGAAACAAATTGTTTTCTGTGATCATAAATTACAGAGAGGAGTACGCTGAGATAGCAGCGATGGATCTAGTATAAAGCTGTCAGTTTCCTAAATAAATAAATTACAGATAACTTTTGATTTGGAATGCATGTTCTTTTATCCACAGCTGAAGGTGTGACAAGCTTGAAAGCCATCCTTTGTTTGGCAATGGGTAGTTTGCATTTCTTTTACTGAATTGAAATGATTTCCAAATGTTTTCTGAAAGTTTGTTTATGAATGTGAATCTGTGCATGGCACGTATTTACATTGTCTTGAAAACATCTACCTCAGGAACAGAATTTACTTGCCATCCAGATAATGTTGCTATAGGGTGAAAAATTCTAATATTTAACTTGCCCATCGAAAAAAAAATTCTTTAGTAGGTGGTCTGAATATTTTGGTGAAAACTTAGTGTTCTGACTTCTTGTTTTACTTTCAATAGATGTATGTTACCTGTGTGAACATGCAGGTTTCCACCTCTATCTAAATGATTAGATAAGATACACGACAATGTATAAAGGAGATTTAAGGAAGCTAGAAGAAGGGATGAAGAAGTCTTTTTTAGGCTGGATCCCTCCATAAAGTTGATAAAGTCTAGTGCAGTAATTATTCAAGGTACTTCATCAACTAGAGCTGTCTAGCAGTTATGACAGAACCTCTACTTAGGCTTATAGCACTAGTATATTTTTATTGTTGTTTTCTCATCCTGCCTGTTCTTCACAACTTCAGGAGTTATTGACAAAAGTATGTATATGGCAGAGTGTTTTATCTTACTGTTCATACATTTTTAGCTTTTCTTCTAGCCTGTACCATAATTGGGGCCACCATGATAGAATAGTGTTGCTTTCTGAATTGTTTCAAAAGTTTATTTGGTTATTAAGTTTTTTAGTGTATGTCCAATTATGTCAAGTTATTTTAAAGCAGTTCTTAAATATCGGTTGGAACTCGATATGACACTCAGAATATATTTTCTAGGATTGTTCCGAAGTAATTGTTAAGAGCATTTTAATAGTGCTGAACTTGAAAGCAGCTTTATCAGATAGCTAGTTTAGGTTGGAAAAGAGCATTAAATGAGATTTAAGTTTATGAACTTACATACCTTTTACAACCTATTAGCTTTTAGGGCAATACTGCTTTACAGTAGTTTATTCAACAATTGTCTTGTATCGCTTGACAAGGTACGGAATAAGCTTAAAAATCACAATTTAGATACTGTCTTTAGGCACAGAATTTGGAGCCTGTAGGTAAAGAGTGAGGAAGTTTACCAACAAATTGTTAGAAGGAACTGGAAAGTTTTATTTATTTATTTATTTATTTATTTGCTGGTATTGATGAATCTGTTGGAGTTGCTGTACCTGCTGAAGCTGCCTGGGTGCAGTAATGTTACTTCTAGTTCCACGGGTTTCAGCAAACCAATGGGACATACCACACTGATGGTGGCTTCAGAGGTCATGTTAAGCCATTGTTTGCTCTATGTCAGTTGAATTTTTCTACAAGAAAAGACAAAAAGCCAAGCATGCTCTAAGAAGTTTGAACAAGGCTGCGTCCATGAAAAACATTAGGTATAACCTCCTTACCAAAGCTGCCTTTCAATTCTTAATAGTTATTCAACTGTGAGTTTAGAGGCTTTGTTCAGGGTTTGGACCCCCCTTTTATGCTCTGTACTTTGTAAGCAGTGCAGAGAAAATACACTCCCCACTCCAGAGACTTGGAAAAGACACCCCACGTTGTTTAGGAATATTATAGTCAGATTTATCATTTTTTTAGATGTACAAGCTGACTTGGGACCTCAAAGTCTAGTTGCATAATTTCTTTCTTACATTGTCAGCAGCAGCTCGGGCTCCTGAAGCCAAGCTCTGTTTTCAGTTTCGTGTGAATCACTGGAGCCTGGAGTTGCACATATGTGGCTGAGAGCAGAACTGAAAGAGTCGTGTTGTGCTGATAGCCTTGTGCTTGTCATTTTGTTAACAACCCTGCCATTAATGTGCAAGACAGAAGGGATTCCAGCTCATTTTCCAGTTTCCCTTCATGATTACCTTGATCTTTTGGTCTAACATAAAACGAAACATCTTCCCTCTTCATCTCAGTTTCTACCCTTAACATCAGTCAATGTGACTGACTGGATAAAAACAGCAAATAAGCTCAATTTGAAAAAGAAAAAAAAAAGAAAAAGTGTTTTTATCACTACATTTTTAGCGAAGACCTGTTTCATAGAAAAATTAAGCTGTGTTTTTCCCCCCCCTTAGTATTTGCATTTCCTGAATTATCCCCTTTATTATGTGATTTTTAGGACAAACGTATTAGAGCAAATTAAAATGTCATCTAGACAACCTAGGGCAGATTATAGCCAGCAGTAATTGTCAGAGATGTTTTCTTTGTGTAGGGGAAGGAACATTTTCTTTGGTGTATTTAATAGCAGCTAAAATCAACGCAATGTTTGTAGTGAAGAGTTAGAATTTTAGGAAAACTACAAAAAAGCCACCTTCCAACACTTACCTTTTTATATCAGGGGAAATTAAAACCACAGCTATTAAAGTATTTTTTAATTTCCTATAAAATCTGAATTTTTCTGACTTCTATAAATGCATCCAATAAAAGCACAGATCTGAAGTTCATGAAAGCAGTAAGGTATCCTCAGAAAGTGGGTGCAAAGTAGAAGAGTTCTTATGTCACATCCATTTTAACAGCTAAGTCAGTGAAGTTGCTACAGACTACAGCAGTGAGCACCTGGCTCCAAATATCTAAGTAAGTTGGCTTGCTTTGTTTTTTTTTTTTTTTTTTAATTTGTTACGTTTTCCTTAGATTTCTTTCAATGGGTGGTGTTGGTGGCCAGAAGGAGACTTTCTTGCAACCTCTTCATGGTGGTCTTAGCTCACAGTTGAAGATATACCTGTGGGGTTTTTCTTGGCAAGAAATTCTACATTAAATACAGTCTTGGATTAGTTGATTGGCTGTGTGTATGCTGCCAGAACAGTTCAAAATTTTAGTAAAATGTTGTTTTTTTTTTTTTTTTTTTTTTTTTTTTTAATTTGTTACGTTTTCCTTAGATTTCTTTCAATGGGTGGTGTTGGTGGCCAGAAGGAGACTTTCTTGCAACCTCTTCATGGTGGTCTTAGCTCACAGTTGAAGATATACCTGTGGGGTTTTCTGTGCTGGAGGTTTTTCCCAAAAGCTTTCTGCCACTTCTGCTAACCAGAGAAGCTCTATCTGCTGTGTCAGTTACTGGTGTTCTGCACAGGTCACAGATAGTCTCAGAACCACAGTGTCCAGCTCTGGTCCTACTACTGATCAGCTTGATGGAACTGAGTAGTTGTGTGATGGACTTTTTGGCAGCACAGACCGTCCCAGAAGCAGCCCAGGACCCCTTCAAACACTGAGTGCATTTTCAAGTGTGATCAACTCCACTCTACTTCAGACGTTTGCCAGGAAGTTTCAGGATAATCAAGTTATTTGTGCCTTGATTTAAACCTGACTGAGTACTGAAACCTCTTTTTTATTTTTGAAAGGTGTAGGAGTTTTTTGCATTTGTTCTGTATCAGAGTAGTCCCTGCCTGCACTGGGATTGGGGTACTCTGGTTAATTTTCTGTGTCCCAGAGGTAGTTGCATTTCTATTTGTGCTTTTACTGGGGGGTTGAGAGTGTTCTGTGAATGCTAGCTATTGTCTGCCATAATTGGCCTGCGAATAAAGAGAGGTATTTATTACCTACACACCTGCCCCATTAAAGTGTGCCCACTTTTCCACCACCTCAGCTAACCTGATAGACACGGATGATTGAAGCTCCTCAGTTGTTCCTGTCTGTGGGTTGATGCGTGCTGTCAGATAGTCAGACTCTTCAAATGATCTTGGCACTAATTGCATGTAAAAGTACCTTCCAACAATAGGGAGGGTTGCTGTAGCCACGGTACTAACTCCAGTGAACAACAGCTATGAGGATATAATTTCTTTTCATGGAATCCAACCTAAACGTACATTTTGTTGATTTTATTTTGACATTTTTGGCGGCGTATCTTAAAGGAAGGGAAAACTTGAGTCTTTTCTTCTTGTTACCGAAACTAGAGGAACATGAAAGCCGCTTTCTCTGGCTTTCCAAAAGCTTCAGAAAAGAGTCACTCCACAAAAAGAGACTGCGTTTGGATCTAACATGAGCAGCGTTATCAAATGCACAAGAAAATAGGACAGGTCCTTTGTATTTCCTTTTTTGAGTCTCGATTTGATGTAGGTTTCTGGAGTATCATCAATTGATCAATAAAACATGCTAGACTGCATGCTACTACTGATTAATTCACACCTTTGGAACACAGTAAGAAACAAGGTGAAGCCTGGTGTCTATAAAGGGACTTGCTAAGTGCATTACCAGGTGTCTACTAATGTGTGCAGAACGTCTTGGAGGACCGCCCCAGCCATCCCAGCCCCGGCCCCGTGCTGTGCCCATGGCATCAATAGGATGTGGCAGCATCGCGGGCGGAGGGGAGGTCCAGCTGTACAGCAGTTTCCAGGTCTGGCTTCAGGACTGAGGGGAAAAGAAAGCTAGTATTGCTGAAAAAAAAATTTAGTCTTCGTAGCCACATCCCTGAAATTTTTTAGCAAGAAAGGTTTGTTAAAAGCTGTGTTTTTAGACTTCCATAAGCAAACTTTTCAATTACGTCTTTGAAGATTGAATACAATTTGTGAAAAGGACTCTCCTGCAAGGGATCTTGTTTGATTATTTTGTGTCTCTCTTTAAAAAAAATTCAAATCCCAGAAATGGTGAGCGTGCACTGTTAAGAGCTGCTTTTCTCCCCACCATTAACACTGGATGAGTCTTAATCATCCCCAGGTGGCCAGCTTCTAACAGCTACATTCGAGCTCTTTTATTCTCCCTATATTTAAAATTTTGTAGGACCACTGCTAAATTTTACCAGAAAAAGGGTGGGAGGGTTTCCATGTGCTCCCTGTGTTGTGTTACCTGACCAGGTCTGCAAGTTCTAGCCTTTTTTGAGTAGTGCAGTTGGTTATTTCCAAGTTTCTTCCAGTCCTTACTGAGTCTGTGAAAATATAAAGCTGTTAGAAAATTAAGCATGCCTCTGGCCATGACACTGCAGGAGTTTGTGAGGGGGTGGTCTGCTCTGGGCAACATCCGTGAGCATCCACATATTGGTTTGTCCTTCCTGTCCCTGCTTCTCCCTGGCTGCATCCGATGGCCAGCGGGCTGAGTGGCAGCGCATCAAGAAGTGGAGGGCAGGTGGGATGTGTGCTAGTTTATCTCAGGGACATGCTGGCTGCTTGGAGGTGAGAGCTAAGGAAGACTGAAAGTCCTTCCTGAACTCTAACTGGCTTCCTCTGTGAGTGTGGGCATCGGAAGTGGGGGTCCAGCTCTGCCCTTGGATGGCCACCATCAAAAGACCAATCTAGGTTATAAAGCAGCAGGGAAGAAAAGCAGTCCTGGGATCTGAGTTCAGGTTTGGGAGCTGCTCCACAGCAAGCTGGGTAGATGTTATCCCACTGGCCCTCCTGCCGTGGTGCTTCCTCTACCCTTCGTGGGGCCGTTTGAGGAGCCAGCAGGCGATGGTCCAGTCCTGGGTAACCTCATGGGCAATGCAACCACTTGAGCTGGTTTTTAAACACAGATCCATGTGGATTTGCTGGTCCCTGGGGTTCGGTCCCAGGCCTCGGTCTCTCCTCACCAGGGGTTTTAGCAGACCACATTGATTTGGCCGCATGTTTTGAGGAAATTCTTATTTTCAAGAAGCTTAAGGGTGGGATTCAGATGCCTAAACACAGCCATGGAGCTTCCCGAGACAATCCTGTTCTACCAGGGTGTATGGCAGGAGACTAAAGGGAGATGTAGAGCCTCCAGGGGCGGCAGCTGGAAGCCAAGGGAGATATGTCAGGACATCTCGGGTGGCACTAAGGTCTGTAATTCGACAACTTGCTCACACCTTTGGTGTCTTTTAGGCTGAACCCTTTGACAAATGGGGCCAAAGGGAGAGTGGTGATGTGATGTGGACAGGAAAACTTCACTGTCCCTGAGCACCGATTCAATTTACTACCGTATTATTGCTGAAAAAGCTGGTTTAAAATCAATCTTGACTATCATAGCGTGCTTTACTCCTGATGTATTCACGAGCACTTGGCATACTGTGCACATTCTTAGTTTTGAGAGAAGCGACATTAATAGCTATTAAGTTAAGCCTGAAACTGTGTGGCATTGTTAATTACCTCCAGTCATGTAATTTATCGAACTTACAAAACTTAAGTTCTTGAGTGCTATGACTAATTATAAGATTGGAAATTAATCCAGAAGTGGAAATTACAGCCATACTTGAACATGTCTTTCAGGCAGCTTTGATCATTCTCAAATGCTTTTATCCCCAGGTCTCTACGAGGAGATCCGTCAGTGCCGTGAGGCCTGTGGAGAAGCTCATATGAAAACCATCTTGGCAACAGGTGAACTGGGGTCCCTTGCTAACGTCTACAAAGCCAGTATGATAGCTATGATGGCAGGTAAGTGATACGTGATTTTCTTTTTAAGCTAAGAATGTTTTTGCTGTATTATTTACGAAGCTTAAAAAATTCAAGTTGTGGAAGTTTAGTTTTGCCAATAGTAGGCTAAAACTATTACGCAGCAATTACTGAAGTTGCAGGTGTAGTAATGAAGTGTCACGTGTTTGTATAACCTACAAAAACTGCATGTAATGTTAAATAACACTTAAAACTGCTAAATGACAAAATTTGTAGGGACAACTACTTGTTGTCAGACATCTGATCCTTGATATATTTAATAAGGACACATACATTTGGGGTAGATACGGATATTTTCCAGGCAATCGTGGGGAGCTGCAGGTGTGGTGTAGGTAGATGGCTTGTGAGGTTATTTTAAGTGCAGGGAAAACATCTCTGTGAAGGTTTGTCCTCACAGCTCTTGTTTCTGCTTTGCGATGGCTTCTTCTAACCACCTCTATGAGAGTGCCATTTGGGAAACCGACTGAAGAACGGTGCATGCTCCAGCAGGCACTGGAATGGGCTTGGTTGTGACTGGTTGAAACTGGGACACTCAAAAGCAGTGGTGCTCACTAACAGCACTTAGTTGGCACTTCGGAGTTGTCCGGTCTTCCCTGCCTTTGAAAACTCCATTATATCTGACCTGATGTTTAGGAGTCTGTCTGTCTTTTATTCTGAACCTTTCAGCTAAGACACGCGTTCCCATGAGTAGGGTAGAGTTTTTGGGGGCTACGTATGGTTTGTAGGTATTACTTTTTTGCACAGGTATTGCCCAGATTTACAGCAGTATAATAATCTCTCTGCAGCTTTGGGTCTGCCCTGGTACAATTTTCCCTAGTTTAACCAGGATTTTAGGGCTGTGTTTTAATGCCATCTTTAAGATGCAAAACTGGGAAATGGCTGATAATGCTATATTCTTTGAACTCTGTTCTAGACATCTGCTTCTTCCATTGTGCTTGAAAGAGGGGTCTTCAAGTATATTAATAGAGAGAAGCATAAAGATATACTAAGAATGACTTGGGCTAATCTGTCTTCTAAACTTTCCCTCTGTTTTGTGTTGATTTTTTTTCTCCCGTAATCTCTTCAGACCTGGAATTTCTTCTTGTTTCAGAGCAAGAAAAAAAATCATCCAAGTGTTTTGTCAGTATTTAAATAAATATTCAACTTGCTGCTGACCTCATTCACTCCTCGAACAACACTGTCCTTATCTACTTCAAATAGAATGGAAAGCAATTCAGGCTTTTTACATGCTCAGCTACAATGTCAATTAGTATCATTAGATAGAGAGGATCAGTATTATGTCAGTAAATATTGCTTTTAATTAGAAGAGGTGTAAGAAATACACATTTCCTGTCATTTAAACTGATGTACTAATCGTTATGATCACTTTTTGTAACATGAAGTAGTGAAAAATTCAGATTGTAAAGCATTAAACATGTTCAGATTTTTTTTTTGCTGGTGTAGTTTTTTTGAAATACAGCAGATGGCTCTATTGTTAATGATTTTCCTTGCATAGTTACTCATTTTACAAGATACATATCCATCTCAATATATGCAGTAATTTCTTTATTTCAGTCTCTTGCTTTTTCTTTGTGGGTAGGTGTAAAAATAAGAATTTTTTGGTGCCCTATATACATGTATTGAGGGACAGATTTTCAGACTCTGACTTGTCAGAACTGCTAAGAACCTCAAATTTCTGTTGAGTTTTTCTTGAATTGCATATTTGTAGCATTTTGGGGAGAAAGCAATTTGGCAGAGCAGTTTTAAATTCTAGCTTTAGTATATTTTTTTCAACTGGTGCCATGATTTAAAAGAAAGAAAGAAAAACACAGACAATCTTGTGGATGTGGCAGGTTTTGGCAAAATTTATCTGAAGATAAAAAAGCAAAAACTCTGATAAATTTGACCCTATCAATTAGATTTATAAGGGGAAATTAGGTACACAGTATAGTGGATTTAACTGCAAAACTGTCTTTAAAAGCTGTTGCTCTGGCCAATTGCTCTTGTCCTTTACACCAAAATTTGCTGCTCTTTAACTGTGCTGTTGGAAGTGCTCCTCGTGCTGCATTATAAGCTGAGTTTTCAAAGTAATACAGTTGAAAATTACTCCAGAAAGGGATTTCCTAGTTTGCTGTGTGTTTTTTCTGATTGGTTGGCAATGGTAGGTTGGTTTTTTGTTTTTTTTTTTTTTAAGTGGTCACAGCCTCAATAATCTGTTTTACAGCCTTGCCTTGCATGCGATTCTGTCAGTGCAGCTGAGGACAAGGTGTACAGTCCTTAAACTTTTTTTTTCACTTTGTGTAATGTCAGCCTATCAGCTAGGGAGCACAAATTCCTAGACTTACAGAAGTTTACGTTGCCCTCGCTGAGCATGCACCCATTCACCTGGGTCCTGAGGCACAAAGCCACTGGATGTGTTGCGTTGAGTATACAAAATGTAGGTAGGTATTTCCCATGGGTTTAATTTGTGAGATTCAGAAGGCTGAGAGAATTTCACTGAATTTCACTGAATTTTAGAGTTGGAAGGGACCATAGAGATCATCTAGTCCAACTCCCCTGCTGAAGCAGGATTGCCTAGAGCTTCTCAGAGCATGTTACTCAGGAGCATCCAGGCGGGTCTTGAAAATCTCCAAAGAAGGGGACTCCACACCCTCCCTGGGCAGCCTGTTCCAGGGTTCCGTCACCCTCACCGTGAAGAAGTTTCTCCTCATATTTGAGTGGAACCTCTTATGTTCCAACTTGTGCCCATTGCCCCTTGTCCTCTCACTGGGAACCACTGAAAAGAGTCTGGCTCCCTCCTTCTTCAACCCTCCCTTGGAATACTTGTAGACATTGATAAAGTCTCCCCTCAGCCTTCTCTTCTCCAGACTAAAGAATAACGCAATGCTGGTTTATCAGTGGCTCCGTGGTTAAAAAGCTTGCCTGGGATGTCTGAGACTTGGTCTCTTCTCCCCCACAAAGGTCAATTTTACAGTGTATTTACTGTTAAGGATCTCAGTCCCTCCTAATAAAGTTGCTCTGCTTTGCACAAAGCAATTAACTGAACGGGGAGTACAACCCAGATGTCTCCTCTCCCAAATAACTTTCCAAAATTTGTATACAGTCTTCCTTGTGGTGGCTTGAGGAGTTGTTGGTGTAATCTGGGAACCACAGCGTGATAGGTTTGGTTTGGTTCAGCCGGCAGGTGGGGGCTCTGCCACTGGATGTGAGGCCGGCTGCACAGGTTACTGACTTGAAAAGGGATGGTAAAAAGCTAAAAAATGGGCACCTCCTCGTCGACTGAGATTTTAAATAATGCCAAGGGCCATGCTCAGGCTGGGGTGCTGTGCCCGTGTGCTTTTATACCTGCTCAGGCTGCTTCTGTAGGCAAACATCTGTACTCCAAGTCACAGCCCTTGTGGGGACTGGGTGGAAGCCATTCACTGCACACCAGTGGGTGAGGCTGAGCCCAGTCAAACGTGCAGATCCCAGCAATGCACTAGAGGTGGGGGCCAGTTGCAGAAGCAGTGCTTGTGTACAAGATGTCAATGCTTGCAGCTGCAAGAACTTGGGAAGAAGTCTTGCTTCGCAGTGAAGTGTGAGAATAATGTCTATTCGAAGCAGTGGCTCTTGGCTCCTCCTGTGTCTGGAATCACATCTCCAAAGCACCATGACTACTTTTTCTTCCTTCTCTAGCACAGTACGTAAGGAGAAAGGCATCAGAATGGGAGCAAGCACCCAGTTGTCTTAAATTCTTTTAGCCGTACCTTTACAGACTTGACTGACGTGCGATAAATTCTTCTGGAATATTTAAGAACCTATTTCTGAGTGAAAGAGGCTGACAGGCCTCTTGGGACGGTGACTCACCTGGCAGGAATAAACCTCGCAGTGCTAAGGAGGACATAATGGCAGGTAGGATTGCACATCAGCAGCTCTGTGGCACTACCAAAGGAGCACATCGTTTTCAGAGAGCTGTCCAACAGAAAATCTCAGCATTGAATCAGGGAATTTTTGGTCATTGGTTTATAACATCCACTGCCATTTCTTGTGCTTCTTGAAGTCTTGATCATGGTTTGAGAACATGAGCTTCTCAAGGGAAAACTGCGTCTTTGACTCTACCAGACAACTTCCAGACAGTGACTAGAGCAAACTAATTAGTGGTTTTCACTGTCTGGTGTAGACTTGTGTGAGTCACGTCCATTTCTACAGGAGACACTCAAACCTGTGTCTTCGTAGCCACTCGGAAGGAGCAGACCTAAGGAACACAAATGGGAGTGCCTGACTCCCCCATACCAGGGGGAACTATTCTATGTTTCTTCATCACAATATCTTTAAAAAAAAACAGATCTTGTACGCAACTCTCTTATGAGAGGTAGGCCATTTTAAAACTTTTATTTTTTGACACAAACTGCCAAGGAAGCCAGAAAAGGAAGGGAAAGATGATGAACTAGCAGAGGGAAAGGAACTCTTCAGTAAAGGTGTGAATGAATTAATTGCATATTTCAGTCATATAAGGTTTTTATTTTGGAAAAATCACATTTTAACCATATTACCTAATTCCAAAATCTTTATTGTTCTGTGTAACCATTCATAGTAATTAAGATATGCAGACTGGGAGAGAGGGGGAGGAAGTGATTAAGTAAATGTACTTTACTTTAAAAGTGAAAACTTAATCTGTGTCATTTTGACTGTGAAAGCTGGTCTTGATAGTACAGCTCCTTTTATGTCACTCTTTGGGAAGCTGAGGGAAACACAGCAGTGACATGTGAAAGATAATTTGTTTTCATTATATATACCTAAACAAGTACTTGTGAAAAAGTCAGGAAGGAGCGATGTGTGTTCTTCTGCATACAAAACATATGGGTTTAAAACAATTTTTTCATAGGTCATTAAGCAGTTAGTCAAATAAATTGTAAGTTGAGATACTAATGTAAAAATTGAATTTAGAAAGCGAATGAATTAGTGCTAAAATAAACTAAATTCTAGTACAAAAAGCCCTGCAAAAAGTAGCAGAAGATGGCTGA